GGGAAAGCACTCTTTTTATGCAGTGATTAATTCCCGTACTCTGTTCTAAAAGCTTGTATACAGCAGTGAAAGCCAAACTGTGTAGGAGAAAAACAGACCTCTTGATATTTTTAAAACAAATTAGATTACTTAATTAAAGCCTTTAGAAAATGGCAGATGAAAGTTGGAATAGCAAAGGGACTAATATCTGCTAATTTTTTTTAGGTATTCTTTGGCCCCTGGTACACATTCATTTAAAGGGCAATGGGAACTGATCTCCGGTCACAAAATCACAGTTCCTGCCATGCATGTGAGACACGATTTTGGGATCAGGGATCAGATCCAAATAATTTGTTTCTGTGTGTCAGTGCAGGAGGAGCCTGGGATAATGATCTTTTAACTTGCTGCTTCAGGGTAAAAGATGGGTACCTGCAAGTCCAGGATGAGTTTGAGACTCCTGTGTGGTTCCTGGCTGGAGCCAGAAATCAGCTGATGGTTGGCCCCAGCTCCAACCTGCTACACACTCAATTTAAGGAGCTATATAAAACTAGCCATTTTTATGGCTGGTTTGCCACTTTATGGTGCCTTAAATTAAATGCACATATAGTACCCTTGCTATTTCTGCCACAATTAACACGTTAATTGCAGTGTAAATGTAACATGTAGTGGGGGCCTTACAGATGTCCATTTAGCGATTTCCTTTCTCCATTTTGAATTTAGTAAAATTTGTCCAGAGGCAGTGGCCAGGTGTCTGAGGCAGCAGTGACTTTTGGAGGCTGATGTACCACTGACATGTTTATCGTCTGCTACTGCAGCTGCACATTTCCCCTATTCCCCACCCAGTCAGGAAAGATTAACTTCCTTGTGTCTGTCATGAACTCCACAGTGGTCTGGGAGGTTGTGGGGTGCCATGAATGTTTTCCTGTGTTTTGCTCTACTGATGTATGGTCTTGTCAAAATGTACATGTTACGTTGCATCCATTTATGCTATGCTGTCTGTAGATATTTTTATGGTTTTGATTGTGGTTTAGTCAAGCAAAGGGAGTGGGTGGAACTGCTAAAGCTCTCAGCTGCAACAGTAGGATAAGACACAGGCAGGAGACAACATTGGGTTGGGCTCCCAAGAATCTGTCTGCCTGCAATTGGGAAATCAACTTCTCTATAGAAAAGACATCTGAGAGAAATGGCCCAGCAGCCAGAGGAATTCAAGATGTCTCACAGAAACCAGAATTTTCTGGAATGTAGTGGTGACAGCTGAGCAATTAGAATAATGCTGATGGGGGGGCGCGGGGGGCAGGGCTGATTTGGAGGATTTATCTATGATAGAATCAGGGTCTTTGGATTTTTAACCCTGGGCTGGGTAAGGGCCCAAGGTCTCAGCATCCAGGGCTGGCAGAGTCAGCAGAAGGCTGATTTCTGGTGATACTGGCTGATCTCTCAGGAGGGCTATGGTGTAGATAGATGAGAGGGTAAGAAACTTCTTTTGCTTTGTTTTTGTTTTCAAACTTATGGTCTGTTTTGCTTGTATAAGGCCTAATCTTTCCAGATTGCACTAACTATGAACAAGAGGATGAACAAGTAGACACTAGAATATGGAGCTAGGTAAGCAATACAAAAAGAAAGACTAATTCGGTTACTGATATGGTCTCCTGAATGCGCATCCTTGGCTCTTATTGCTTGGCCCACCATTTGGAATCACTTAAGTTCTTAAAAGAGTGTTAAATAAAATGTTTTAATTTCATCTCACATTGGCATTTAAGGAACCCTAACTGGTATCAAAGTACAAGTGGAAGAGCATGTGTGTCATCTCTCTCTGGTGCAGTTGAAATGGCAGAAGTAAGTAGAGCAGTTCCACCAAAGGTCAGGAAAGTCTGGTTGGGGTTGGGTGCTGGTGGGTCAGGTGCTGCCAGGTCTGAGTAAAGGGGGCCAGGGCCTAGGCACTTCAGTTCCTCTGTGACCGGGCCTGAACAAGCTGAACCCCACTCCTTCCTGAACCCAAACTAAATAGACCCATTCCCCACTTCACCCAGACCTGTCAGACCAACTCCCACAAGACTGAAAGCAGCCTTTCAAGTAAGGTCTGGATCTGTGGGTTTGAGAAACTGTGGCTGGGGTCTGGGTCCCTGTGGGGAGGGGGCTCACGCAGTGGCAGGGTCAGTGCCTGGGTTGGGGGTTAGTCTGGGGGCTTGGGGAACAGCAGGACTGGGGTCTGCAGGGTTCAGATCTGGGGTGAGGGTGAGTCAGGGAATGGCTTGGGGTCTGGGGTCTGTGGGATCTGGGTCCCTGGGGTAGGGGTCGGGAGCCAGGGGGCTTGGGGGGCTGCTGGAGGTTTGCTTTCTCCTGCCTACTCAGGGTAAAGGGTTTAAGAACTGCATAGCCCAAGAGCTGTGGAGAGAGGCTGAACTTTCCTGAGGCTGGTCAGAGGAGGGGTTTGCTCTGACCAGCAAACTTTCCTGAGGCTGGCCAGAGCAGTGGAGTCCAGCTTAGTCACAGACCGTCTCTGTGGATGGGAGGGGGCTGGGACAGCTGGAGGGCAGTGTGGCACCTGTAAGGTAAGTGTACAAGCATTTGTTTCTGTGAAAGAAACTCTACTAGTGGCCATTTCTATCTCACTGGAAGCGGTAGATTTTCTAACTGTTTTCAGTCTGGTAGTGGAGACCCACCATTTTTGGTCTGGTAGAAATGGTTTGAATGCTTCTATACTGAGTATTTCTTCCAGTGGAACTGCGATTCCCAGTAATACCAGGGAATCCCAGTAATTCAACAACTCAAGCAGCAACTACCTTTGAACACCTTAATTTTAATTTATAGGTTCTGAACTTAATGTACCACAAAGTCAGGTAGTATACATGCAGATTATAGCTGTAGACTATAAACAGTGGAAATGTTTTTTTAACTATGGAAAATGTTACTTTCTACCTGATTATTTTTCATCAGCAGCTTTTACCTTACCCACTCCAAAGAGTCAGCATTCAGACTATCCTTCAGAAAAAAGTGATAATATCTTACTCTGAGAAGTGGAACCAGCAAATAGGAATGATTTTCTTCCCCTATTTTGATGTGCATTTTTAAAACCTTTTCCCCAAAAACCATACATTGAGCGTTTAAGAATAACCAGTTATTAAACAGTGTGAAATATTCATATTCCACTATCTACAGAATACCAAAAATTTTAAAGCACAACATATTTTTCTTAATATACAAAGTGAATAGGGTAATACACTAATGATCTCAGTAGCATTCCCTAATTAAGATACTGTATGCTACATGTACAATGCAAAAGCTCGTGGCATAGCAATGTCATAAACATTAGGTGTAATGGATTATTATGATGAAACTAAACTGTACCACACCTAATGCAACATGAGAATTATGGATCCAATATATAAACATATATACATAGTCAAATTCAAGTTTTGTTTCAGTAGAAATTACTTGTACACAGGTTCATTCCACAGTTACAAGTTTTGAACAAACACTTAACATCAGTTTCACGTTACCTTGAGGATCCCATGCTAAGTTGTAAGTCATAGAACTGAGAAAAAATTGCCCCGTTTTAAGCCACTGACACTTTAGTTGCTGTAGTATAAAAAAATTAAGAATAAAGGGTTAGTTCTTAAAAAAAAACAGAAAAATGCAATAAAGAGCTGCTTTTATTTTGGTATGATCTATAAACATGTTCTTGAAATTATTAATTCTGTTGCAAATAAACTCTAGGCTCCCATAAGAATTACTGAATCTAGTACAATTAATTTCTTCAAGTGCTCTATAAAGACTAAATGCAAGTCTGGGTATATATATACTGCAATCAAGAGGAAGGACTGCAGTTCATGTACCCAAAACAACTTTAAACAACTAACGCGGGAACTGATGATAGCGTAACTGTTGGCTGTATGCAACTATATGGCAAAACCTGCAGGGGACTCTGCAAGTATCTGTGCTGCTGGCAAGGAGACAGTTATTGGTACCTGAGCAAAGTAGTTTAAAGCTAGCTTGTATATATGCTTGAATAACACCTCCAGACTGCAGTGTAGACATACCCACTAAAGTTAAAGAAATACTATTTTTTTAGCATTAGAGAACTGAATGGTGCTATTTTGGTACATCAATACTTACACAATTTCTCTTGTGAGAATTTATACCAAGGGGCTCAAAAATACAAACAGCATTTCCATATGATGCTGCAATCTGGAAAAATTGAACAAACAGAATGTAAAGATTCAAAAAAGGTACAACAGGCCTCTTTAATATTCCTAGATACCCAATGACTTTCCAGTACGTTTTTAAAGACAGATGCTAAGGAAAAGCAAAATTCATACAAACATTTGTGTGTTTTACCTACATGAAAAATATATTAGTTTATTTTGAACAATCCCATTTATAGATTCAAATGATAAAGAGACAACAGGATATGCACTAATGCTCTGCCAACCTGTTCGAGTTTCTAGAATGGCTACTGTTAGTGTGCAAGGGAAAGCTGATACCTTTTTTCTTGCTCTTGCCGTCTGCTTAACAGAAAACTAAAAAAATTAATGATTAGTGTCTGAGTCTGCAGTTCAATTCTAAGTTTCATTTCCTATCACTGAATATTAATTACTAAAAAGCAGGAGCAAATACACTTCTAATCCTAGTTGAAAGAAAACCTGGAATATGGAAATGCAGAATACTTAACATACTACTGGACTTTTCAGCTTCTTCCATAATTTTTTGCACAGCACAACTATTTCTACAAAAGGGCTTTTTTTCCTTTGAACATGGCAGGGCTCTTTTCACTTTTATTTAAAAAGTTACAAGCTGTTGAAATGCTTCCCACTTAAAGACGCTTGTCTTCCCTGCAAAGAAATAATGGGCAAGTTTTAAGCCATTTTCCTATGAGAAAGAAGGGAAGGAAGGGTTTGCTTCTACAATACACCCAGAGGAAGAGACCAGGAGTCCAAAACCCAGATCTAGGTTCTCTCAAATTCTACACAGAACTAAGGGGACAATCAAAGCCAAGGTCATACATGTCTACACAGGCATTCTGAATGCTTCCTTCCTGTCAGAGTTAGAATTCTCACCAGCTATAGTTGTCCTTCTTCAGGTACTGTCTATAATACATCAATTTGTAACTTGTTTGAACAATGGTTGGTTATGGTTGCTTACTGGCATTCATTTCTACCAGAAGAAATTTCTTCTAATAGAAAAAGAGCCCCGGCACTGGATTATATAAACAGTCTTCCAGTTTCATGGCTGGAGAACTTCAGGCAAGCCAGGAGGCAAGAGAAACTCCCCTGTGAGCAATTAACCTTGGCTGTTCCCAGATTACTTTTCTCCCAAAGAAGCCATTTTTGCTCCAGAAGAAAAATCTTGAACATCTGCATGCTTCTGTTCATATGGGAGAATGGTGATTCTCTTGTTAGAAACTGAACACTTATCTATATGCCTATATCTGCACTTGGTCATTGTGTAAACTTGATCAATAGTCTGTGGTAACTGTGGCTTATAAGTGTTTCTATCTTTTAGCAATCTGAACTGGTTGTCCAGTATTTCTGGTGACCAATAAAGTTGGCCTGCAAGTCACGTAGGGCCTGCATAGTTACAGGTTTAGTAGACCTGTACAGGTTACTGTATTAACATACTATAGTATTTTTGAAAAATATGCTCTTAACTGTTCTCTCAGCCCTTCTCAGTGTCTTTCAGCACTTACCTCATTTCCTCTGTTTTTCCTTAGCTAGAAATATTGAGGAAATATTGGAAGCACATTTAGTAGGATCAGAATTTGAATTTTGTTTTATTAAAACTACATTATTACAGGAATCTAACCAATGATGACATTTTAATGCTTCAAAACACCTAAGTGTTTTCTGAAACCTACATAGTTAGTGCTTCCTATTTTGTATATTAGATTTTTTAAACATTAGGAGATGTGCTAGTTTGTTGAAGCCTGTTCCCATCTGTCCAATCACAACTGCCCTTATTGAATTATTTTAATTTTTTTTATTCATAAACATCTTTAATTCAATGTGGTTTAAGAGAAATAGGTACAATTACAAAATTAAATAAAAGGTTCCATTAAAACAAATGAAAACTGCATTAATTTTTTATACTGCTAATAGCCACATTCAATGCAAACAAAAATTGCTACAGGAAAATTACTTACATGAACAATATTCTACTTTCAGTTGTTTTTAAATTATCATCACCATATGCTTAGATGATGAGCAACAAAATATATAGCCAAAAAAACCAACAAATTGTACACATAAGCCAAAATTGTTTACTTAGTATGCTAATATGCCAACAGTCCAATATACCACATAAAAGTGATCCAACAGAAAAAAAAATTGCAAGCTCAAGGAAGGAATGCAAGATGTGGTGAAGGAATAGAGGAGGATACCTTTATATGCTTGTCTGAAAAACAATAGCTTGTAAATTGCCACAGAAAACCAATACAGAGTTGCTTCTCTGTCATAACAATTTGTTATTCAAATAAATGCATATTTTAGTACTGGAAATACAAAGTAGATGTCTAAATGATGCAGGACATGCAGAAGGGTATTTGGTCTTCATCTCAGATTTCATAGCAATTAAAAACCTGACAAATTTTTATATTCTGTAAGGCTGCTTAGTACATTCTGACATGTATTAGTGCTTGGGGATCTTAGCCTTTTTTAAACTTTCAATCACAAATGAAGCATATGTCCCTCTTTCAGAATTAGCAACTGACGCATTCCTTGTTAGGAGGAAGGAACATGCAATGCTAAACACTTAAAAAAGGTGGCATAAATTATCTGGGAATGAAAAAAAAAATCATCAAAAACAATGTTTCAGTTAATGGAAAATTGAGTTTTACCAAACTTCCAAAAAATAAATCATGATTCATTATCAGCCAAGCAGGGTTATTCAGGATTATAAGTAACCCAGAAGTATGAACAGGCCTTCAAATGAAATTACTGCTTCGGCAATAGCAGATGCATCAAATATTTTCTGTTTAATTGATTCAGAGCCACACACTCTGGGTTTTTTTTTTAAGTTTACTCTAATTTATTAAAATTCTTACCCTGCCTTGTTGTTGGGAGCACTCCACACAGCTGACTTGGATGTTTCCATGCTTAGCACCAGGAATAATCTGCACACATTCAAAGTCATTTGCCAGAATAACGATATCACAGCCGGAGCCATACGCCTACAGTAATTGTAAAAATATATATAATTTAATGTTTATAGAAATGAATGTAGCAAATTCATTTTAGAATCATCACATCATTTTGCAAAGAGAATTAAGGTATCCATGAAAACATTTACATTTCCACCAGAGTTTATACTAATAAAGTACAGTAGATTTCTACAGAAAGGGCTTGTTTCTCATCCTTATCAATGCGGCTTTAAGTCAATGTGAGCAGCATAGACTGACCTTTCCCCCCAGCATAGGTAGTGTCCAGGCGTTGTAATAGTTTTATTCAACTTCCCTCATTGTGGCAAGGGAAGAAGGGGAAAGGATCTTGATTATCCCCAGTAAACCACAGCCACCACAGTGGCGTGTTGGAAACAAAGGCAAGCAGGTGCAAATAAAAGCCACTGACTCCAGGATTACAACTGAGTGCACATCTCTAGGACTGCATGATCTATGGTTTAGGATCTAATCCAACATCACAAAAGTCAAGAGAGTTTTGCCCTCAACTTCAATGACTGTAGAATCAAATTCTTCTACTTTCAAAACGGGATTCTCATATACCTAAACACTAAAGTCAGGCAAGGTTCTTTGAGTAGATCTTTTATTAGAACAACTGAGTAGTTGGAAAGAAGTTCTTGGCAAACTTTTGGGCATAGTCACCCTTCTTCAAGCATAGGGAGTTTCTGATGTTCTGAAACCCCAAGAAATGAGAGAAGCTAAATGTGTGGAAGGATGTCAGTGAGAATGTAAATAGGCAGAAACGTGAAAGACAAAATGTAAAGCAGAGAGGGGAGGGGAAGAAAGCAGGGGGAAAAAAGGTTTAAGGGGTAAACAATAAAGTTGTATTTCATGACGTGTAAATTAAACGAAATGCCCACTTTCTTCCTGCTTGCTACATGACTAATTTTTATCTAGAGAAATTGTTATTAGTTTTCAACACACTATAAAATCCTCTTTGAATAATTCCTTGCTTATTGCAACTGTTGTAGCTAGCAATCTTAATATCCTTATTGGTTTCTAAATAGGACATAAAATGTTTCTCGTTTTACAACTGGACCAATGAATTTTCATTTCCTACACTAACAGTATAAGAGTAGACATACATACAAGAATAACCAACTAAAACTTGCTGTTGTTATCACTGTACACAATAATAAGAGTTTTATAAGAACAAAATTGCAAAAAAGAGATTTGACATTTAATCGATCTAACATGAAACTTGCATATGCTGGGCATAACTGCATTGTAAACACCCAACAATGAAGTATTTAATAGAAGCTCTCCAAAAGGATTCTGGTAATGTTAAACTAAACAAAACAAATCAATTACATTTTTTCCTCTTCTGTTTGCATGCAGCATGCCCTTCTTGACTTTTAAAGAATCTGAACATTCAAAAGGCAAGATAACCAGAGTGCCTCAGTGAAAGGGATGGAACTACCATTTTATCTGTGAAACATCTAGCCATGCTTATTTTGGACAAAAAGGTATGAAACACAAGTACCCAAGTACATGAGACCTAATATACATGTAGGGTAAAATTTTAACTTATTACATCAACATTTTCTCTTCTGCTTTCAAGAAAAAATAATGGTATTTTTTCCTGCATCAGTTTTTAAAATATTATTCATTTTTAGCAGTTTTCCCCAAGACCACAGCAAAAAGGTTATGCTTCCTTTTCTATCTACTATGATCACATTGTTAATTCACATACCCATGGCAGACAGGAAACACACTTAATAAAAGGAACAATTGTACTCCACTCTGTCATGTCAAAGTCATAGCTAGAAAGAGAGAGAAATAAAACGATGACCTTTTTTCTGCATGCTTTTTCTCTGAGAGAAAGAGAGAAGAGCCAAATTAAGTCTGCTACTTTTATATATTTTGCTTGAGACAAATAATGCAAAATAATCACTGCCAAAATTAAGGTTTGAGTTGACTTTTGCCTTTCTATTTTAATATAATAGGATTCTGGAATGCTTTTTAAATAAGGCTAACAATTATTTTTTATTCAGATTTCTTATCAAATGTTTGTATCACGTATCTGGATCATGTCCCTTTGTATTCTACCCCATCCCCTTCTCCTGTTTTTAAAAGAGAAGTTTGTATTTATTACATTCCCCAAGTATATAACTTCTAGAATATTCTAGGTTTTAGCAAGTGCATTTTATTAGCAGCAGGTAAAACAATAAGCAAAGATCAATCTACTATAAAGATCATTTATAATCATATATAAGGATCTGTTACTACACTCTATACAATATGTTCAAGAATACAATATAGAACAATGATGGCTTGTAACATTTTTCACTGGCAGGAAATGAACATAAGTATCTGCCAGCTTCTGCCCTGTTCTGGTGTGCCAGTATATTCTAGGGGTCCTAATCTCTCTAAATGATCTGTTCTATTAAACTCCCACATCAAAAAATTCTCATACAAATGCCTGTTCGTCACATCCACTTATACTAATTAGTGTTTATAAATACAAAATAACTACAATTATACCTAAGATTTGCTTTCCTTAAATATGTTTGCTGCTACTACAATGACCCCAGTACAATATGCTAGGAGTCCTAGTAGTCAATTAGTTTAAAACTACGAAGTAATACACTCCTAAGTAATCCTCCTAAATATTTTCTGTTTGCCATTGCTTATGCAAGCATCCTTTGAACTTGGATCTTCATAAACAAAGGTTACTTTACAGCATAAAATTAAACTTTCAGAATAACTTTCCCCTTGCTTCTTTCATAGTCCATTCCAACAACTTGGACAAATTTTAAGTGAGTTCAAATGGAGCACAGTGAGGGGGGCATCCCAACACTACCCCCCAACTATCCCTTGAAGTGAAAAGGAGTGTGAACTGTGTGGGAGATATCTGCTTTATTTATTCATTGAATAGTGTGTCTCCATTTGTTTGACTGTTGTTATGCTATTTGCAACATAGGTCCCTTGGTCTAACTCCTGATGGAGCTCACCTCCTATCTTCAAAAAAGGTAGCCAATAGCTTTGGATAACCATTGGTATGTAAGGGAAAATTCAGGCATAAAGCCCTTCAAAATCTTCTTCTGACCCCGATAGATAAATAATGCTCTTCTCTGGAAGAAACTGGTCCACTGTACTGCATTTACCTACTGGCTACTGCTCTGGAAAGACTATTCTTGCAGTGCTCAAATCAGTTAGGCCTAATAAGGTTAAAGACCCAGGTTTAAGAAAGGGACGTAAGAAAGTGGCAAAAGTGCATCTAATCCTTTGCATTGTGGAGTTTTGCTTTTAGGAAACAAAATGTAGTTTTCCATCCCCTCCCAAGTTTACTAAGACAATCTTCTAAATATGAACTTACACAAAGTTATACTTCGGAGACTAGAAAGTTTGTTTTCCCCCCCACTGTTATTCTGGAAAGCTATGAAAAACAGCAGGTAACCAGAGGTCAATCAGATGTACAGGGGAGCTACCTCTTTAATGGCACCAGCCCTTTCCAATTAGACCCAGCTGGGAAGAGAGAAATTTATGTGAAGGCAGCACATAGCTCAGCTGATAAAAGGGGCCACAGGAAAGCACTTGGCTCTTCTAGTAAGTCCTGATACTTGGCTTAAAGTACTATTCAGTTTTGATATTCCTAAATGTTACATAACTAAATCAAACTTACTCTAAACCTCTAGGTATAGTACTGAATCCTTTCTGGACTGAGGAAACAAGACAGCAACATCTCACAAGCCTATACCTCTCCTTGCTGGCAGCAAGAAGGATGGCAGAGAGATGAGTCTTATTTGTAAGTAGGAGAAAATAACTAGTATTTTTTTCCAATACAGGATACTCCTAGTATCTAATTCTGGTTATCTGATAAGTTCATAAATCACTTCATACCTAGCATCTACTTTGTAATGTAATTGCACTGCATTTAACTGGGGTGAAAATGATTAGGAACCATAAATTAGAAGGTTTCTAAAATAACCTTGAAGAAACTAAGCCATGTCAATTTGAGGGCTAGCATTAGAAGCAAAAGGCACTTTGGAAAACAATTACCCAGCCTTAACAATGTGCAAAAAGCTTAGTGCAGGCTACTCCCGCAGTTAATAAGCATTGATTATATTCCATTCAGGAAAGTCTGTGGCCCCTTTATCCAGTCTCTGGATTATGTTCTTAACCAGAATACTCCCTACAGTTTCAATTTGTCCAAACAATGAACTTTTCCAACATCTCTTATTCACTTGAAAGTATGATTATATTGGTTGGCTTGGGAAGAGGGAACACAAACTTCCTTAAAATCCATTTGTTTCTATTTGAATGGTCCACCTTTCAAATTCATCATTAATAAAGGCATTTAAACTGATGCTTGATTCTCTAAAGACCGCATCAAAATAGCTCATCATAGGAGCTGATGCCTTTCAAATCAAAGATACCATCTATGCAAAGGAAAATATATGCTTCTAATTGCTAGCATGCCACTTTACCTTGGGAGGTGAAGTTAAGCTGCTTTTCAATCTATTAAGCACTAACAGCAACCCAAACCAGGTGAAGAATACTATTGGTAGACATCTCAGTATCTTACAGGAGAGACTTCTCATTTGTGACTTACTGATGTATGTTTTTGTATGTTTAAATGTGTTTGTATATAGGAAAAAAAAAGTAACTAGCATAATGATACTGGCTCTGTAATTCTAACAGATATAAGTACTTCCTGTTTAGTATGGTTCTCACTCTCTGTTCCCTCTGCCAACAAGCTACCATATTTCTGGTTAGATGTAGTATTTTCATAAGTTCAGAATGAAAAAAAATAACTTACAGAGGAGGAAAGAAAACACAACCTCCCTGTTTCCACCTCCCTTCTGACATGCACACACTTCTGCCACTTGACAACCCATCAAGATACAAAAACAGCTGATTAAATTTAAATAATTTTATTATACTCATCCTTTCTCTTCCCTGTTTCTCTTTGGCAGCTGACTAGGGATGGATGGATGGATGCTAGTACCTACAAGATTTAATCTGTTCATGATCCTTTTTTAGGCTAAGATTTAAACTGCAGAGTCAAAGCCTGGGTATTCAAGTTCTTTGGGGTGGGTGCTGAGTGTTTGGTTTGGGGTGGGTTTTTTTTTTTACTTGCTTGAGAAGAAGTTTGGGGCTTTAAATATACACAACAAAAATCAATTTAAATAAATTGTTAAATTTAAAACAGTTTAGAAAAAAAGTGAAAAGGCTGGCCAACAGATTTCCCTGGACTGAAAGTAATTTCCATGTTTTCTACATTTGACTCTGTTAGTGATTTTGAGAGTTGTTGATATACTGAATGTATAGAGTGTTGTAAATTCCTTTTACTTTTTTTCTCTTTATATTTTTAACAAGAAACCCACTAGATCCTCACTGGTTAAGTTACAGTTCTTTGGCAGCAGAGCAGACTTTTGAATGTCGTGGGTGCTATTACCAATAGAGTAAAAACGCATCAAGATCAAGAGTCAGATGAAGTACCGAACAGGCAAAGGATGCAAAAAACCCCCAAACAAAACCAAAGGAAAATAAGATACTACAATTGTGAGAACAATACAAGAGCCTAGATAAACAGGACTATCTATGAAGAAAAGGAAATGTACATAAGAACCACTCACATGGAGTATCTGTTGACCTAGTTTTGTTTTGGGTTTTTTGTTTAATCTGTTGACCTGTTTTTAGTTGCACTGACATCTTCAAAATGAAAATGAAATGGTGTTGCAAAACTGCCGGAGAAGCAGGATGACTTGCAAGATGCACAAGTAGCTAACAAGCTGCTGTTTGCCAAGGTCTCTCATTGGCAGCTTACTGAAGCGCTTCTGACAAACCTTCTGGTGAGAAACAAGAGAACCCTAAATAAAAAAAAAAATCTCTTAAGTTTTCCATGTTGTCATAAAAATGCCCTCTTTTCAGCTGATTTACTGAGTTCCCATTAGGTTCAGCATTGCAATTTAAATGTCAAGAATTAGTAAATTTCTTACACTTTTTTTTCCCCAAATGTTTATTCCACTTGTAGTTTTTATTATGAAAAGCTGTCCTCTCAGGTAGTCTATAAATAAGCATCCTTGCAGTTTCTATTCACCTGAGATGAGTGAGCTAGGCAAATTTAATGTAAATCTGTCCTCTAATTTGCCAGTGTCAGGGATCAGAAGATAATCTGAATTCTTTTTGAAGACCATACAAAGTAAGAGTGCCTCTACTCTTAGAACAACTCTGATCTTCCTCGCAGCTCTGGTTCTACCAGGCAGGGTTGGAGAATAAACAGCTAGGACTGGGGAGTGTGTCCCCCCCACCCCCCTCCAAACAAACAAACAAAACAACTCAGTAATTTCTAGAAGTAATGGAGACTGCTCCATTGGGAAACGTCTCTAATTTCCACCAGCATTATCCTGTCCTTAAGTACCAAAAGAACTAGAAGGTGGTGTGACATATTTAATACAGCTGTTTCAGAGGCTGAATTTTAAAACACTACAAAGGTATACCTAGACACTGCTTTAGAGACCCCTAAGAGCCAAGGTGCTAGGTTTGAAGATTTTTTTAAAATGTAATCCACACTAATGCAACATACAGAAAAGCAGAGAAAATGGGAGATTCACAAATGATTTCTCTTTAAGAAAAGGAAGAGATTTAGGGAGGGATTTACATATATTTAAGGAGGCAGAAGCAGGCAGTTCGACACACCAAAAAGAGAAGCTATTCCAACCGGTTTGCCTTGAGATTGTAAGAAGAGAAAGACAGCAAAGTTCCTTTTCACCATGTAAAAAGTAGCCATGTTCCACAATGGTTTCTAAGAACTAAAAAGATGGATTCAGTCAGAGCAATTACACCGGTAGAGGAGGTGCAGAGGTCTTGCTTGTGGTTTTTAGAAGGGATACCAGCTACTTAAAATACCGCACTTGTTATGAGGAAACAAATCAGAGTATTGGTTTTCCAATTTGCATAGCTTGTGTATTTGATAGTATTTTGTATTCACTCAAGTTTCATTGTTTCTCTATCTTGCGTGAGACCCTCCACCAACCTGGAGGAAAAAAAAATGTATAGGAAAAATGTGTGTGTGAAGTCATAAAAGCTGGCATAGGTGGAGCCAGGTATTGCACTTGGGATTTCACCCACTTCTCTTTAAATGTCAAGCTGCCCCTTAAACATACCATCTTCAGAAATGTGGTTAACACTGGGGACCAGGCCAAAAGGGACTGTTTGAAAAAAGGATAAGGGGGAATAACAGAACTGAGTTGCAATAAAGGCAAATATGTAACGGGGTAAAATAGCAAGGCGGTTCTGGTGCTGGTTAAACCACAAGTAAATTTTAGCCAAACTAATTTGACTCAATTGAGAAAAGGAAAAGAAACTTGAGAAGGAACAGAACATTTTGGGGAAAGGGAGCTGAAAGGCATATTTTCCAAATGAAAAATGCAGACTACCAAGAAATATTTGCTATATTACGGATTTAAGAGGGAATCTAGGCCTATCTTACTCTGATTTTCCCCTTCCTCCTCCCTCATCTTTCCAGAAACATTTCTCAGAGCCAAAACTAAAAATTTCAGCCCAAACTTCAGGTGTTGCCTGTCATGTTAAAGTCCTCTAGCTGCAGGACTTATTTTACAGGGAAAATAAAACATTAACTTGCAGCCATCAATTTTTGACAAATCCAGTAAGATACCAGATAGCTGATTTAATCTACCTGTCAACAGCCCTTGAAGTCTATATCAGATTCATGGTGCAAATGACCTGGACAGTTGACCCCTCCCAGCATTCAGAGTCCTGGTCTACACTTAAAGCTTTACTAGCTGTCATAGCTGTGTTGGTCAAGGATCTGAAAAAAATGACACCCCCTACTCATGAATATGGTGCTTCCTACACACCCAAATGTACACAGGGATAAAAGCAAAAGTGCCAGCAGTGGTTATTTTGTACTGACAAAACAGAATATACAGTACAGGCTGTGTCTGCTAGGAGGATTTGTCACTACAGTTTTACCCACACGCCCTTTCTAATGTCAATACAGTCACAGACATTTAGTGGTTTGAAAGGTAAGAGATTTGAGAGTTCACAACCTCTTGAGAAGACTAGGGAAGTGCACTCTCACATGAATGATTCTCTTTCTCTGGAAGGAGCACTTTAATGCAGTTTCATTATGCGGTGAATAAAGCTGGATTTCAGAAGCCCATGAAAACTCTATCCAAAAAACAGAGTTCAGCTCCCTGGGGGCCACCTTCATAGCTGAGATTTGGGAACAAGTGAAATAAATTCATTAACCAGCATCCCTTCTGTAACAATCTCAAGCAAAGTGAAGGTTATTTATTTCTGAAGGTAAAGTACAGGCATATCCAGCTGGGGTTGACCAAGAGACAGAAGGGGAAGGAGTCTTCTTTCATAAACTTGAAAATAATTAAGTTCACAATTTGGCTGCTTGACATGTGCTGACAATGGAGGGGTGGGAATCCCAGATGCAGGGGACCATCTTTTTCTATTATTTAGAGTGTCTGTGAATGTGTGGTGTAAGTGGAGCGTGTTGCCATTTTTCAGTTGATTATTTTTATAATTTTCCTTCAAATGGTTTAATTAAAATAAAATTGTTTCATAAGAAGCCCAGCCCCCTTACATGCAGATACTCTTCATAATTAAAAATGGCTGAAATCAACTCAATTTCCCAAAAAGTTGTCTTTGACCACAGATCAGCTTCAAATAGTCAAAAAATACAGAACTGAAGTAATCTGTTTGTTCTTTTGGTTTGTTTTATGTCCCCCCAGCCTGGACTATATTACAATATAGCCTGTCCCAACA